CTATGTGGTGCAGCCGCCACAGGCATGGATAATTTTTTTAATTTTAATATTTTTCCGAATTTTTTTATTTTCTTCTCTCTCTCTCTCTCTCTCTCTCTTGTTGTGGCGGGCGAGTATGGCAGGAGCTTGCCGGCCACTGGGCGAGGGTCGCGAAGCCCTCCTTGGCCTTTGGCGAGGGTTGCGGCCCTTGCCCAAATTTGGGTGAGGCCTCACTGGTTGTTGGCGAGGCCGCCTTCTCTCGCGGCTAGTGAGGCCTTAATGAGATCTGGGTGAGGGCCACGACCCTCACCAGTGGTCAGCGAGGGCTTTGCGGTCCTCTCTCTTGGCGGGCGAGCTTTGGCAACCCTTGCTAGCCACAGGAAAAAAAAATGAAGGAAAAGAGAAGAACAGAAAAGAAAAAATAACAGAAAAAATTAATAAAAAATTTGGAAAATATTAAAAGATTTAAAAAAAATTATCCACGTGAATACTGACCGTGCTACGTAAGATGGCCAATGTCCATGTTAGTAATTTTCGGCGAAAATTAGCCATACGGACTACATTGGAAGTTTTAGAACTAAATTGACCAAATTGAAAAGTTCTGGATTTTATTTTTTTTGGTTGGAAGTTTAAGAAAAGTTTAGAATTGAATTGTGACAAGTGCAATAAATTTATGACATTTTTAGTAATTATCAACATGCAATCGTCGGATTTTGGGTTCATCTCCTTTATTCATCCTTGTTTTCTCTGTTTCTATCTCTGATAGATAAATCTTGTTTCTTATCGGCCTTTTTTTTATAAATTATAAACAAATATTGTGATTTTTGTTCCTGAAGTTTCTTCTTTGTCGTTGAAAGCAGCATTCCCATGGGTGTGGGAAAATGTTACCAGGTTTTGTCCGTAATCGCCATTCGCTATCCTCTTCATTCTAGATAGCGATTGAAAACATCTAGTGGGATTGTGGGTGCTACATCAAATCATTTCTCATGAAATTAGGCTAGAAAAGGCTTTGGAGATAATCCATAGGGATAACTTGGAAATAAAAATAAGACAGCTCTCTATGTGCATAATTCGAAGATGTCAGAAAGGGTGTTTTCGCAGATTTGGAGTATATCTGTTGGGCCGCCGAAAGAGTGAGGTGATTGCCACTCCTATTCTTGCCACCAAAACTAAGGTTGAGCGCAGCGGACGAAGGTGTGGTGGCTCGTGTTGTGAGATGCACGCGTGAGTTGTCTTAAAGAAATCTCACATCAAATAATTGGTTTGGTGTGAAATAGTTCATATATCCTAATCGGCCCATAAGTCATTGGCTTAAATTTTTCGGTGAAGGTGGATCCAAATGGATATGTTGACGAGCTTGGACTTGAATTGTCTTTTGACGATCTCCTTGGGCGAAGGTATTGGGCTTCTACTATGTGCTCCCAACAAATAGTATCAGAGCCAATAGTTGATTGGTGGATACTCCCAATGTGTATTGGTGTTTAGTTAATATCTTAAAGAAGCAATTTGTGACTAACACGGTTTACGGGCAATAGGCATTGTGGTGTAGCAATGTAGCCTTCATGGTTTGGTCTGGAGAAAGAGATTAGGGATGAAGGTGGGCGTTGATAGAAATTTAAGTTGAGATATCTTGATACAGAAGGACACTTGGATTAAGAGGGGTGACCCAACACTGAGCTCACATGTGAGGAGGAGTTTGTTGAGATACACGTATAAGTTGTCTTAAAGAAGTCTCGCATTAGAGAATTTATGTAGTGTGGAGCAGTTAATATATTTTAATTGGCCCATAATTCATTAGCTTAAGTTTTTAAGTGAATGTGAGTATAAATGGATATATTGACTAGCTTGGACTTGGGTTCTCTCTTGATGCTCTTCTCGGGCAAATGCATCAGGCTTTTACTGTGGGTTCTCAACATATATGACGGAGGTGCGTGAGATAGAGCTCCTTTGTGGCCAACGGGGAGCCATAGAAATCTAGTAGAGCTTTGTCGAGTTGAGCTCAACCATGTCGAGGAACTCCAAATTTCGTGGTCGAGATCAAGTTGAGCTAGTGACCACAACGAGCCTTGTTAATGGTACCAAGATGGAGCTTGAGGAGAGCTGTGGCTGGCGGCCATTGATGTATAAAGGGGACAGAGGAGAAAGATGAGTGTGAGACATATTGTATCAAGGTATATCCACCCCTATATCGGATTATTTTATCTGGATAATATCCAGACATATTCGAATTTGAGTTTTCCCAAATGCAAAATACGGTAAACGTTATCTTATCCGGTATTATCTTGGCCTACCAAACGCAACCCTACCTTTTTTCTATTTGACCATACGCTAGGAATCACCTTATAGATAAAAATGATATTTTCCCCCTGTTGTGGGTAGAAAGATCAATAGCATATCTATTATAATAATTAGATAATTGGATAAGTACATCCTAGCAAAACTTCTTCCTATGTACAGTCTTCCAAAGACTCACTATCTAATCATTTTATTGATTGTTCGAGATTTTGGAAAGATCGACTACATTTGACTTGACATAAAAATTATTGAAAATTCAATCAAATGGCATAATAGGGTAGGGCGGCAAGAGGTTTTTTCGATGATACTTCATTTGTCCAAGTCTCGAGGTCCAGTTTTGTGATATTGAATCATTCAACTATGGCCATGAAATCTTGAGAGTGTCAGGAAAGTTGTGATTGTTCCTTGTCAAATGATACTTTCAAAAGCATAGAATTGCAAGGTTTTTGATGCTTCATAACTATGTTAATGGTACATATTTAAGATGAGAAGAGTCCTACGACCCCATTTTCTAGAAGTCTATCATCTTAACACCTTTTTCTTTATTGCGTCCCATGTTCAGAAATTTCGAGTCATAAGCTTTATATTGATGTAAAAATCGTGTTCATACAGAACGGCAAAGTCATGCACAATCAGAAGTTTTTCAAATGTTTTGAACTGTGATGTGATGTGATGTGATGTATCTAGCTTTTCTAGAAGAAAGTGATACGGTTCAGCACTGGGAACGGAAAGCCAAACCGATTATTGCCAATTCCAAAAATTTAAAATACCGAACCACTCAGAACCTGCCGATTTGATCCGATTCCCAAGTTAAACCGGACCGGTGCTCACCCTTAGTAATCTTTTCACATGTTATAGCGCATATTCAATTCTTCTGGTGAAAACAGGTACCTTTGGCTCTAGTTGGCTAGTAGAAATCTCAAATCTATCCTCAAATGCAATGACATAGTATTTAAAATGCAAAGAGCTCAAGATCATATGCCCAACAATGTTGTTCATATGGCTCCAAATGTCGCGAAACATAATCTACTAATCCACCATTCTACATGGAGACACGCCTAAACCTCGATGACAAAACTACCTAAACTCATAGGAATAGTCCAGGTAGGGCAATCATTCATCATTGTTTCAATTCTTAAAAACTATTCTATCACTCATCTGACCTTTAAAATTTCACATTTTTTCCCATGCCAACTAAGTTAACGAAGTAAAGATACGAGGGAGTTCCGTAACAAATTTTTGATAATATTTAGTTGCGCCTAAGAAACTTCTTATTTCATAAGATCCACAAAAATGCGGCCTCTTGATTAGGAACAAATGTCGCATCTTAAGTCAATTTAGAGAAGATCGCTGCCCTTTGCAACTAACCAATCGGTTTGAGGTTGTCATCGAAGTTTGACATTTGATTGAGGTGAATCCTAATGTGTTGGTAATTGCAAATATGATTTCTACACATCAATATGAACACTTTGAAACCTATATTGCCAACCAAATCTAATGGCGATTTTGATTCTTTGGGATTGGTTTTCCGTTATTGGCGCTGGCAGTGCAATTTCTCGATTTCAATAATATCCCAAGAAGCTAGAGCCCCGCAAGGTTTCCAACATAACAAAAATCGGGTCAATCGAATGTCGCAAGAGGGATATATCGTCGGTGAAAGTTTGGTCAAACTTTCCTAAGCCCCGATTAATCCCGGTTCTCAAAACTACACTTAGAGATCTCGGAATAAAACAAAAATTTCCAAATCTCTTAGTCAATATAAAAAAGTGATTTTTATTGTCTAAAATCACCAACTCAATGTTCGATTTATAGACCCAAAAGAACCGCCTTGTGCCACGTTAATCTCATATTTGTGGTTCTTCATAATTATCCTGTCGATATTGAGCTTGTTGGGATGCTCTAGTCACGATATCTTCAATACCATAAAACATTGTGCGAATCGGACGTTAGGCGTGTAGGATATAGGTCTTGCAAGAGAAATGAAGGCACCCGGAGGAGCTTAACATTCAAATTAAGGAGCATGCGGTCGAGCTTAACTTGTATTGGCACAGGTCGAGTATAGGTTGGGTATGATCCATACTCTCGAATGGGTTCTCTATTATCAAAATTTTGAGTCAATGTTTATGCTCTATAACTCCAAAACGTACTTCCTAACCATACCCTTCCCACAAATTTCACAAATTACCTGCACAACCTTTGAAACATTGAATTATAATCTTCAAATTATCAAACTTCCCTTACAACTCTCCATATATATATTTGAAAATTAGAAATATTGGGGCTGGGCTTTTGCCAAGAATGCTGTCTTGAAATTTGTCTGACCAATTTGCCCGTATCCTTTTCCAGGCCCGATGGGCTTAACCCATATCTATTCGAACTTTTTTTCTGGAAATATTAGTCATTGATTTGATCACACAACCACACAATTAACATATAATTAAATGAAAAGTGATAAATTTTAGCCGGAGAAACTAGTAGACTTTGGTCGACCTTAAAAATCTATATTCTAGTGTATGTTTCGAGCTCACTTTTTCAAAAGCCGGCCTTTTAACGCCACCTTAATTTTTGCGCGACGATATTTAAATGTCGGTTCCGGCTTTTTTATGGCATTGCGTGATTTCTAGGTAATAAATAATTTCTTCTTCCATCTCAAAGATTCATAGTTGATAAATTTTCTGTATTATCTTCTTCTTCTTTTTTTTTGCATTTAGCAGATGCAGGAGGAGTTCTTCGGGCTTTTCGGATCGGACCCGAGAACCGACCCGATATCCGAATTGCGGGATTGAATCCGGCCCCCGAGACCCGGAACCAAGCTATCCGGACCACCTCCCTCCCTAAGACATCCGAAGCAACACAAACGCCCGCCGTCCTTGTGCTTCCGCCGCCGCGCCTCGCCTCGCCTCACGGCCGTCTAGTTCGTGGAAGAAGAAGGCGGAGAAGAAGAAGCTTCTTCATCAGCATGCGAGAAAAGGCGGTCGAGGAGCCGGGGGAGTTGGCGACGCCAGGGGACGTCCTGGGAAGAGCGGCGGAAGTCAAGCCGGGGCGGGGCGCCTACCTGGCCCCCCACAGCGACCTCGTCTACGCCTCCCTCACCGGGCGCGTCCGCACCGTACCTCCCCCGCCCGGTTCGCCTGACCAGGTAGCGTTTCGTCTGTTGCTCTGTGCGAGTTCTCTGGGAGAAGGGAATGCGAGAGGTGGGGTGAGTGGAATGGAAGGAAGCGATGAGACTTGTTAAGGTGTTTTTTCCTGTTTTTTGTGTTATTGTAGATGGTGGGGGTGGTGGTTATGGTTAGTTGGGTTCGTGAAAAGGGTTTGTATTGGTTGGATGGCTAATTTGATTTGTGGGGTTGATGTGTGAATGAATTTGAGTTGCAAGAACTTGGGTGAGAATGCGGCATCTTCCGTTAATGTGCTCCGAGATAGCTTCGTGTCCATGGCGACATGTGGATTGTGGGATTACACTTAAATGAACTGTTATGTGAGTAAGCATTGGTTATGAGATTGGGAATTATGCTGGACATTCGGTACTCGGGGCGCCTCGTTGGTCCATACAAGGTCATGGCGTTTGCACGGGGGTATGCGATGCTGTGGAGGTTGAGTCATTGTTGTCTGAGGAGTAATGGAGGTTATGCAGTCAGTAACAGCCCAACAATTGGTGAATGTGGATCCGTCCCCGAGGGTTTATGAAGAATTAGTGATATTTGCTGTGGTTTCTGCTGTTGTTGATTTCGTCATGGTCACTGCTTTTTCAAAAAATCTCAACCACATTTGGTTTCTTGACTTATTTTAGAAGATCATAAGAAGACATCAATCACTGTCCCACTAGTGTAACTTCATACTCACAGCTACGAACATTACGTGTACCTATCAAGTTTGGCTCCTCTGCTTTTACTTAAGAGGCTTTTATTCAAGTAATGTGCATAGAAATGGTGAATTATATGTGAGACACTTTCCTAGTCATCCTGTTCATGTTTTGTTATTAAAATGCTTTTTAGCAAAATAAGATGGACATTTATTGTATCGGTAAATTGTTTTATCCAGAGGCCGACCGTGGAAGTAATTGGCCACAAAGCCCATGGTGCAGTTCCAGAGCCAGGTTCTGTTGTTATTGCAAGAGTATGTGACTTGCTCATATATTTCCCTGCCATGAGTTGGAAGTTGTTGCCTTAGAAATAGGTTCCTTTTTTATTAGAAATGGGTTCATTTTACTTTTTCTTGGGCTTTTCAGTACTGACATTAATAATTAGCTCCTGTTCTAAGGGTTATGCAGCATTGCTACCATAATATCCAAACGATTGTAGATCATCTGTAAAACCAATGTGCTGCTCCGGTTTTGTAACTATGGTTGCAGGTGACTAAAGTGTTGAGTAGGATGGCGTCAGCTGACATACTTTGTGTTGGTCCGAAGTCCGTCAGGGAAAAGTTCACAGGAATAATTCGGTATGGGTTGTTTCTCTTTGTGCAATATAATTAATTTCTATGCTTGTAGTATCTATAACCAACTCAAGAAACTTCTGAAAGTTTTATAACTGAGTTATATCTTTGAAGTCGAGAGCTTTTTCGATCTCCGTATCTTTCTTCGTCTTGGGCATGTGTAATCATGCATCATGTTTTGTACTATTTATCATCTGAAGCATTGGCCAATGAGAATGTCACAATCTGGTAATTAATTATAATTTGGGATGTATCGATCCTAGTTTGGCAAGCTGTCGTCTTTGAAAACTAAACGGTTTTGACATATTGGGTGCAATACAAGAAGAAGGATGCTTCAATGAGAAAGGTTCATCCTCGGTTGACGTCTTCTATTGACCACTCATCTTTAGTAGCTTTTGATTAGAATTCATGGTTAGATCATATTCTTCAATGTGGCATGCCCACTTTGGCCAAAAAAAGTGTGGCATGCCCTGCAGCTATCTTTCTCATAAGTTTTGTGTATGTATACTTCTTGATGTTTGCACAAACTGGAGCTAAAAACTATGTATCGACAGGCAACAAGATGTTAGAGCAACTGAGATTGACAAAGTTGATATGCACTTATCTTTTCGGCCAGGTGACATTGTCAGAGCTCTTGTTGTATCCTTTTATACTTGAAGCATTGTGGAAGGCAATCTTCATACAATTTTCTGAGTGCTTTTCTTTATCGTGGTACTAGTTGGCAAGTTTCGTAGCTAACATATCTTAATAGACTTGGATCATGCCAGAAACTTTTTGTTTATGTCCCATTTTAATTTGACCTCCTTCTGATAGGGGAGTCAGCAAAGCTTTATAAAAGCATCAAAATTGCCTTGCTGACGGAATCAGTCTGTTCTAAACAGAGCATACTGATTGTGCAGGTTTGAAGCCTTTTGAGCAAATTGTAAAATGAAATAAACAGAAATTTATGTATTCTTAGGCCACACTGTTCTGCATCACATCAATCGTGAACTCTTGAAATCTCCAATGATCCTCCTATAAAATATTGAAAACTTTGTGTTTACTTCACGAGGTTGAACTTCTTTGTTCTCATGGATTTTAAGTCGTGAGCAATGAAGAAATCTTAGCGTCTCCCATGAAAGCTCTCCGGGGATTTTTCTCCTCCTTGAAATTTCCTCATCCTTGTTTTTTAGCCACCTGCATACAGATTCTTTTTTGTACTTCTATGTTCTCAATAACATGTAGGTCACATAGGTGTAGGGTGTTTTGATTTACTATGTAAGCAGAACGACCTTTTCTGAGCTCTCAGTCGTTAAATGAAGAGAAAACTGAATATTAAAGATGTATCATTTTATTCCAATAGCACCATTGAAAAACATTCCTGCGGATGAAGACTGTCTATGCTTTGTCTTTGGCACCCACCCATATCTTCTAAACCCTGGCAACAAAATGGACAGAGGGAGATATGAAGAGGCTTCATTCTTGTGCATTTACAGTTGTGGTACAGATTAGTTTTTAATGTTTCTTAACTCATCAGTAGCTGTCCCTTGGAGATGCACGAGCTTATTATTTGTCAACAGCAAAGAATGAACTTGGTGTTGTATCGGCAGAGAGTACGGCAGGTAAATTGTGTACGACTGTTGCCATCTAATATATAAGGTTTCGGTATTTAGTTTCTTATGTACCATTTAAACATAGACATTCCAATAGGGATTGCCATGGGGCAATGCGGGGCCAGTTACTGCAGTTCTTCCCATGTCGCGAGGAAAATCCACATCCTACAGGGACAACTAAATGTGCAGTGTCTCGTTTCCCATGGGGTACACCGTTGCCCATTGAATGAACACAATACCTATGATTGTGAGTCTAAGAACTTGCAAAGGAAAAAAAACATCAGAATAAGAGGGAGGGAGGGAGGGAGTATCCACTTCAAAGTAAAAACATGAAGTTTTTACTTTGCTTGATAATATATGAAAACATAAAATGCCAGAAGAAAACTATAAATTCCTTTACATGGCATTGGAGATACAACCTCCGGAGGACAACTGCTTTTAATAAACAAAGCAGATAGTTATATTGTGTTCTATGGCCAGTCTCCTATCAGAAGAATGCTTAACTAGTCAAGATTTTGGCTATTTGAGCCTTAGTCGAAGTGTTTGTCTATTCCAAACCTATTGTTAACAATAACGATTCTACTTACATGATGTTTAGACGAAACAGTCACATGTGTTTCGGTTTGGGATTGCAGGTGCAACAATGGTCCCGGTAAGCTGGACTGAGATGCAGTGTCCATTAACAGGTCAAACCGAGAAAAGGAAGGTCGCAAAGGTCGGCAGCTGACGGATTCTTATGCTAGGTGAACGATAGCGTGTTGTCCTATGTCTTGTTAGGCTTGTAACTTAAAGGGCAGAAAGATGCTATCTTCGTCTTGCTTGCGGAGACAATGGCTTGTAAGGAGCTATTTGGCGCTCTCTGCTAGTCATTCTCCCACACTCGCCTATCTGTCACTATCAGTCGTTTTTGTTCATTGCATTGCCCTCATGTTTGTTGCAAGTGTTTCTTGCTTATGGACTTATGTTTATGTTTCGGAAGTTTCGTTTAGGAATTACTAATTACGATGCATGTCATGAAAACACGAATGTACCAAGAATAACATGTCAAAGAGATGTGAACGTTGTGAATGTATTGAAGAACAGGAGTAAATCAAATGAAAATAAGAAAAGGATGCGAAGCGTGGCTACTCGAACACGGATTCAGTTCAGTCATGTCTTGAACTTGATGTCCCTATGATTGTAACTAGATGTCATACTTAAAAGTATTGGCTGCAACACTCTTAGAGAGCTTTAGGAAGAAAATATATCTTTAGCAAGTGAATTAGTAAACTCTTTCTCATTGCAGAGACTTTTACATCAGGAAATCTCATGTGTAACTGCAAAATCACTTCAATGTAACGGAAGCTAAAGACAGATCGATCTTTGTGTAGGGGACTACGACTTGCTAAGAAACTACGTGTCTTGAGGTTAACAACATGGCCCAATTGGTGCCCTCCATCTTTACAAATTGACAGCTGATGCAATATTGCAGAGAAGGTTCGCCGTCGCGTAGGCTTGAGCCAAAGCGATGGCCATCGCGGCCAAGTAAAACGGACCCGATTCCATACGTATGTCGGTCGACCATTAGGTATTTTCTAAGTTCCCGTGAAATAGAAGAGAAAAAAGGCCAAAGAAGAGAAAACGTGGGATTTTAGAAGCCTCAGGTTTTGCGGAGGCTCGATTGAGATTAATGAGGAAAAGTAGATGCTTGTCTTGTGATCTATCTTTTAAAAATTACTCGGTTTTGATGGCTGAACTAACTGCAAATTGGATCGTTGACCTTGTAATTAAACCCCCAACAAAAATAAAAATTAAGATAAACCATTGTAATTTTAACTAGAAAGTCTAGGTAACTGCGGCGAGCCGATGTGAACGAACATCATTAAAATATAAAAATGAAAAAAATTCTCAAGGGAGAAATCAAATTTTACCGCGCATGTCATTGTCAATTAGTCAATTAATGATTCTCATTATTGAGTTAATCGACATTAGAGCACAACGCGGCGGCTTGGCTCTACAACTAATTTTGGGGTTTTACAAATTCAATTTAAAAACAGATAAAAGTCGCAGTTTCTTCACCTTATAAAAGAAGGTCAAATTCGATGTTGTCAACATCTGATGAGGCATGACCTCGCTGTCCGTGCTAGAATCCCTAATTAAATCGAGGGTTCGCGGTTGTCAGATTCGTTTTGTAATTTAATTAGTTGATTAATTAGTAAATCAGTTGACAATGTTGGCTTGAATGACTGCGAGTTTCCTCGAGAAGTCGTGTTGCTTGAGCATGCTTAGGATGACCCTTGGGCTATTGAAAGTTTGCCCAATTTGCATGCTTTTTTTATTGGGAGAAAGGTAGCCAAAGTTTGACAAGAGAATGGAGTTGAAAATAACCAAGGTTTTTAATAATTTTAGGGCCATGATTAATTAGGTCCGAGTGATATAGATTAGGACTATATGGTAAGTCCAAATATGAGTTAATTAAAGGGGGAGAGGATCTATCTGGGGAGTTTATGTGGCAAACCGCCAAAGTGGTATTTGTTTAATTGTTGCTTAAACGCTCCTTGATGTCGAGCTCATTGTTTTGATTGATAATTTCAAGCTAGTGTGTTGTGGGTTTGTCAAGATTCCTGCATGTCCTGAGAAGAACTGTCCAATTTTAATAAAAATAAGGAAACATGATTCCACTGCGAATAGACTGAATTAGCGGTGAACTTTGAAAAGCTTGCCAGATCTATCTTTAGCATGGCATGTTCGCGAGAGTATTGAAATACCCGGGAGCATTAATCTTCTATGAAGTTTAACGAGAGCTTTTAGGGATAAAACTATTGTGCGGACTCCAATGATATCTTAAACCTTTCGACGGATCAAACGTAGTACTAAACCCTTGAGTGAAAAATGCAATTGAATCCTCCCGTTCAAAATTGCCGAAATGGGGACCCGGTCATTGCTGTCTCGTCCTGCATGTCCTGGCTGGTGATATGACGTAGATAGCTTTACTTGAAACAACACCATTTTGCTTAAGTTTTTAGTGGCTTCAACCAAGATCTGTCGTTTCGTCTCGGTCGCTCACATAGCCGATCCTCATCGATAACTTATAAAGTGCCAGCACTGGACTAGGTGGTGGTGAGAAAGACCAATCGGGGGACCGAATTGATTACAGAAACATGAGTTACCGCCTGGAAATCTGAGGATCTTTAGTACCGTACCAAAGATTGTCTAGAAAGCGATTTTTTTTTTTGATTTAAATACAATTGAACACAAAAGCTACTTAAGACAAAAAGGAAATAGGATCCTCATCTGAATATCGACTGTCAACCAATTTTTAGGAAATTCGGGCGATCCTGTCATCCGTACACGTCGATCAAAGAAAAAACATAATCTTGCAGCTTACATATTTCATGAACAGTTCGTTTGACTAGGAGCATTCTCCAATCGAGAAACAAATTCCATCTCGAAACGAATGACCCTGAATTCCAAAAATTCAAATGCAATTTGTACGATGGTGCTATTGGAAAATTGGGGAAAACAGGTAGCGAACTTAGGAACCAAGACAACAAGAGCAAGAATTGTCAACTGCCGGTACGAGCTTTCCTTCTGAAACGTCATCTATCACGTAACCAATGCCCCCAAAATCCTTAAACCGTTCGCAGCGTCGCAAGTTTAAGGACCATTGTGAATTTATATAATTGTTTATTTTCATACTAATATGAAAACCGAAATGCTTAAAGTAGAGTTGATTAAACAAGCAAGCAGGTGGTTTTTGTCAACTCCGTCGTTGTCTGCATTAGGTTAACAATAACCTCTTCCAATGTCGCTCTATGAATCAATAGTTATTTCTTTTTCTTTTTTCGTATACCATACACAATACTTATACAGACTAAGGATGATAACGGGTGTCCAACCCCATTGTAGAAAGGTGCCATAACTTCAATGAATCTGAATGATGAGTGTACTGGAAGTCCTGAGACTTGTCCCAAAAGTACAATTAAGTTTTAAAACTTTTGAAAAGTACAATTAAGTCATAAAACTTATCAAATTGATACATTCAAGTCCTTTAATTAACTCTATTCAACTCGGTTAACGGAAAATACCGACGTAGCTTTCTTTTTTCCTATCCTATGTGACTATAGCGTACTTAAAACGACATCGTTTTAGTCTAAATACGATATCAAAACAAATTTTATTATATAATAAGCTAACTTTAAAAAATAATACAAACAAAAGAGGAAACGCAGTCGAAGGCGCCGCCGCCCCACCATCGCCGGGAAGGGGGATGGCCGGCGACCACTGCCGACCGTAGGCGAGGGCCGCCACTGGCCGGGGGTCTTGATTGTGTAAACCAAATCTCTCTCTCTCTCTCAATTTTGGTTGAAGCTCAAATACTCAATGTTGAGTACAAAAGACTATAAAAATGGATGAAAGGGAAGTATCTAGAATTCAACTCTAAATCAGTTCTCTCATTTGCCGAATATACTAAAGTGTTGAACGAGCAACTTCTTTGTTTTTATAAACAAATTAGTCTCATACATACATACATACATACATATATATAATATATATATTCATGCTGGAGAGAAAGAGAATATTCATGTTAGGTGAGCCCGTGATATGCCAAATGTGCAGATCCTGTTCAGCATTAGTAGATTCTTATGCATAGGCTTGAGGTGTTGACTTTTTCCATTGCCCCTTTGGCTGGTCAACTGTAACTTACACCTCATCCTTCATCACAATCAATGCAACTTGGCCTATTGATTTAATCCCATTTTTTTTGCAGATTAAACAAAAATAATACAGCGGGGGTCCAAAAAAACTATTTAATTATATTTTTTTCCTCCAGGGCACACGCATGTTCATCGGTCTTCCATGTCCTTTCACGTTTTCATTCATCTCTTTCCACGCACGACGCAATCCCCTACAGTAACATAACCAAAAGAAAATTAGGGTTTTCGGAGTTAATAAATCTCGTGTTGGTGGTTGAAGGACCACTCGCTAAGCTTTGATTCTTCGATTTTTTTGGGGGCGTGTTATCGTCATCCTCGCACGCTTGTTCTCCTGCTTGAAGTCCTGGACTGATTATCTACGTAATTAGTTAGGGTTTTTGGTAAATTGTAAAGAAAGCCGCGGTTAACTTTAATCCCTCTTGCTTGATGCAATCGGAGTTCCTTTTCCTTGCTGCCTTAGGCGGAAACGTCCGGGCCTCCCCTCGCGTGAGATGATGGACGTATCGTCGAGAAATGTCGTAGAAAGCGGAGGACGGTAACGAGCAGTATCACTTATAGGGGAACTTTTTTTAAGCAGATCGATTCCATTACGTGTTTAAAGAGATGCGATCGCCATAGAAAGTATAAACATGTGTGTATATAGTTTCTACATGAAATGGGTACTCGTGAAATTTTTATTTTCCATAGGCAATGGACGTAAAATATATACAAATCAATACGACAATTGGATGCGATAAATTACATAGTTGTAATAAATGTAGAGCTTTTTTTTTGTGTTAGAGGGATATAAAAAAAACTTCTGGTGGGTGCAAGAGAAGCTTTAATCCGCAGTCAATCTAATTAGAGATCTTCAAAAAAAATTTAGTTTATTTCTTAAAAAAATTTCATTATCATCGACACAATATATACTGCCACTCTTTATTACAAATAAAACCAACATATAAACAAAAGAAAAAGAGAGAAAGAAATAGATGTTTCCAAAAACCAACGGCGAGTCCCAACAGAATCGTACCGATTCATGAACAGATCCATGTTCGTTAATCTTAACGTACGGTGATAATCCAGGAAAAGAACAATGATCTTTGCCATTGCCGGAGGATACCACACTGCATTTTAGGGTTTATAATAGTGTCTTTCGCAGCTGTGAACAGTGAAGTAATGACCTTTTTCTTCTTTAATCTGCTGCATCAGTTGACTAATCAGAGATTCACTGAATCTTGATAATTACTCAAATGATAAGTAAACCTGCAACTTGGATCAGATAAGGAGCGACGGCAACAATTGTTGTCATTTAAGAAATTCCAAAGTGAAAAACTCTTGCAGTGGATCATGCCTGCATCAACCTCAGAAGTCTGGTCTGAATTTTCTTCTGAGTTTTTATTTTTATTTTTTGGGTCTGTAATATTCTTCTAATTAGGTTAGTGATTAATATAGACTTTGTTGTCAGCATGTTCTTCGGTTTCTCTAATGGGCTTGTTAGGTCAGATTATACAAATCGATAGGCCAAGTAGACCTCATCTTCTATGAATTTCCATAAAAGCATTGCAAGTTGCCAACAATTAACCTCGAAAGAAAGGCATTGAGTGTTTTTTTTTTCCGTTGACGACTTTTTGATACTTTTTGATACTCGTTGAAATTTATCAGCACGGCAAGGAAATCCATATTTTACGATAGAATTATGAGTCACTCGTACGTGATCAAGTAGATCTTGACTATTGTTTATCGATTCAGAATATTAGCCGACGCTTCGTGTGGATAAATAATGCGCATAAACTTCTACGCGAATCTCTAAAGTAGATTCTTTACCCTGCATAAACTTCTAAAAATGTCTCGATATTTCTCGACCGTTAATGGATACATCATTCCCATTTATAACGATTTGACTTGCATGGTGGGGCATATTCATATCAAACAAACATTTCATTTCTTGTGGAATAATTAGGAACATCATTAATTTGATCAAATGGTTAATCAAGATCATGTGCGCTCTTTTATTGCTAATTTCAACCTTACGCCATCTAAATCATGAAATTAAATTTAAGCTAGTTGATTAGTTCGAAAGATTCCCCAGCTCACACGGCCCAAGAAAACTCCAAAAATGAATCGACTACCTTGATATGATACTTTGGCTATCATGCAATATAATAATGTATGAATCACCAAGGTAATCATACGTAATCACATGCCCTATTATATTGTAATAATGCAGCTAGTTAGTTAACCGGATTTAATTCTTGATTAAAATGTCCGAAATTTTTTGTGGCTGTTGCTTTTTTCTATTTTAGATTAGGAAATTGCCAAATTGATGATGGCATCACCATGTTTGACCAAAATGCTTGCCTACATTAGTAAGCCAGAAGTGGATTAAAATAATTATTTTAGAATACACTCAAAAGGCATCGATTCAATTGGACCACACCCTGCTTCATTGGTAGCTTTTTCTTACTAGCTCCTTACCAAATATCTCCTTCATTTCAATCTTTTGAAATGAGACTGAACTCCGTGTTCTTGTATGTATTGAATTGTCAATTTATCCCCGGAAAATTTTTCATTTTGCCCTGTAATAATGATGTATTAGATCACCATTTAGCTCTAGTTATGACTCCAATATCCCAAGTGAATCAATACAACAAGATTCTCTTCACTTCCAACCCTCAACTATTAAATTTTTTTTGTAACTATGACAGACTATGGAGCATGAGGGCATTAAATTAATAAATTTTTGAAAAAAATAATGACGCAGACTTTGTCTCACTATCACTCCCCTTCTTCTCCGCTAATATATAAACCCCCGCCACTCATCATCCCTCCTCACCATCTCCTTCTCCTCACATTCGCAACAACTTTTGCAAGCTTCACTCCTCATCCATGGCGTCCTCCCTCTCCTGCGCCGCCTCCGACCTTGCCCCGCTCCTCGTAGGCACCGCCAACTCCACGGCTATGGCCACCTTCCTCTGCAGCCGCTTCACCACCATCTCCAACCAGTTCAGCGACACCTCCTACGCGGTCAACAACACGTACCTCCTCTTCTCGGCCTACCTCGTGTTCGCCATGCAGCTCGGCTTCGCCATGCTCTGCGCCGGCTCCGTCCGCGCCAAGAACACCATGAACATCATGCTCACCAACGTCCTCGACGCTGCGGCCGGCGGCCTCTCCTACTACCTCTTCGGCTTTGCCTTCGCCTTTGGCTCACCCTCGAATGGCTTTGTCGGCCGCCACTTCTTTGGCCTGAAGGAGTTTCCCAATCCGGCAAACGACTACAGCTTCTTCCTCTACCAATGGGCCTTCGCCATCGCCGCCGCCGGCATCACGAGCGGCTCGATAGCTGAGCGGACTCAGTTCGTCGCCTACCTCATCTACTCCTCCTTTTTGACCGGCTTCGTCTACCCGATCGTCTCTCACTGGTTCTGGTCTGGCGACGGATGGGCAAGTGCGACCCGGTCCAATAACGACTTCCTGTTCGGGTCGGGCGCCATCGACTTTGCCGGGTCAGGAGTCGTCCACATGGTCGGCGGCATTGCGGGTCTCTGGGGGGCCCTCATCGAGGGCCCGCGTATTGGCCGGTTCGACCGGGCTGGGCGGTCCGTGGTTTTGCGTGGCCACAGCTCGTCGCTTGTGGTCCTTGGGTCGTTCCTCTTGTGGTTCGGGTGGTACGGATTCAATCCCGGCTCGTTCCTCACTATACTAAAGTCGTATGGAGATAGCGGGAACTATTACGGCCAATGGAGCGCGGTCGGGAGGACAGCAGTCACGACCACACTGGCCGGGTGCACCGCCGCCCTAACCACCTTGTTCAGCAAGCGGTTGTTGGTGGGCCACTGGAACGTCACCGACGTGTGTAATGGTCTGCTGGGCGGGTTCGCCGCGATCACCTCGGGCTGCTCCGTGGTCGAGCCGTGGGCGGCGATCGTGTGTGGGTTCGTGGCCGCGTGGGTCCTCATCGGGTGCAACATGCTCGCGGACAAGTGCAAGTACGATGACCCGCTTGAGGCGGCACAGCTCCACGGCGGGTGCGGAGCATGGGGGCTGCTCTTCACGGGGCTCTTCGCAAAGGGGATCTACGTGGACGAGGTCTACGGCGGGCAGGGCAGGCCGCACGGGCTCTTCATGGGCGGCGGCGGGCGTCTGCTGGCGGCCCAGATCATACAGATCCTGGTGATATGCGGGTGGGTCTCGGTGACGATGGGACCACTCTTCTACGGGCTGCACAAGCTCAAGCTGCTGAGGATTTCCAGCAAGGATGAGATGCAAGGGATGGACTTGACCAGGCACGGCGGGTTTGCATATGCATACCACGATGAGGACGATCTGTCCATGAAGCCCGCCGGGTTCATGATGAGGAAGGTGGAGCCCAACAACGCAAGCCCGACTTCTTACGAGAATTCACCAGCCGTCTGATGTGATCTCCTTCTTGATCTTGAGTCCCGATGGTTTGTTCATCTAGGGCCTTAGGGCAAGAACAAGTTCTTGCAGCAACTCTTTTCTTCTTCTTCTTGGGGTTTCTTTTTCTCTCTTGAAAGGCACAAAAAGATATGGAAAAAAGAGACAGAAGAGGATGCATACCGTCCATGTCCATATTGGTGTGTGGTGTTTATGATACTTGAAATTTGCAATAAGAACTGGTGTGTTTTTCTCTTTAGTGATGGATCTATCGGAGAAACAAAGGGTTTGACTTTTCTCTCCCTTTTTGTTTGTTTACTTCTATTTTTAACTCTTTTGGATCAGCTTTCTGAAGATGTTAATATCAAAAGAAAGTTATTTGCTATGTGATGAGACGATTTTGTTGCTTGTTGTGTGGTTAATCCGAAGCCTTCTCTGCTCATACACGAATGATTCTGCTGTTCTACACATTGGCGAACCATTAGAGAAAGGTCCTTCTGAGATTAGTTGCGGACATGAAAAGAGTGATGCTATAATCTGTATCGGCCATTCAATCAGATTTTCTGCTCAAGTAGCATGAGAACGTGCTTGGTCAGCGATAGCTCATGAAAGCATTATTTAACACTACTGAACTAATAAGATCGGACGTCGAACTTGCCCATTTTTAAAGGGTTAGGTTATGATGCCGCCACCCATCAGCATTAACGTTGCTGCTCGGATGGCAGCGAGCATTCGCGGTGTTCTTGAATTAACGTTGCTGCTCGGATGGTGGCGGGCACTCATGGTCTTTTTGCATCGCGGGGGAATCGACACAGCGCCGCAACTGCCGCCGATGCCTCGGACGCCTTTAATTGGGGCGTCGGGTCTCAGGAGCTATAGCCCTCGAACGAATTCGTGGCGGCGAAAACGACCGCTCGACCTCCCTCGTGGCGTACCTATATGAGCTTTACCCGCGAAATTTTGTGTGCCACGGGGGAGAGAAAGATGAACAGAGAGAAAATGACATAAATGATCATCGAAATTTTACCTAACGTGTAATGTAGTTCCTGAATTTTTAATTTGTTCAATGTAATTCCTGAACCGTAACCCAATGTGCAATATCGTCACTGAACTTTTAATTTGTTCAATGCGGTCCCTGAATTTTTTTGTACATATTCAAACTAATCCCTAAACTATATGAAGATATTTAATGTTGTCCTTGAACTTAAATTAATGGAAGGATAATATTGGATATTTTCATATAATTTAGGGGACTAGTTTGAACATTTATAAAAAATCAGGAACACATTGAACAAATTAAAAGTTTAGAGATAATATTGCGCATTGATCTAAAGTTCAAGAATCCCATTACATATTGGGCCAAAGTTCAACGATCGTTTGTGCCGTTATCTAATTTGTTAATGATAGGGGATCATCTCTAAAGGGATTAAAGGCCCATCTACTAATCATTGCTCAAATGGTTGGAGGCTAAATTTGAGAGTGTTTCTGATGGATGAATGTTAAATTTGAGTTCTAGGCATGGATTTGCTTTTTAGAGATGTACCTCCTCTTTGGTGTGCTCCATAGAGTGTTGAGTCATATTTTCTGCATATCCTAAAGTGAATTCCTTGAACATGGGGCATTCATTTGTTGAGTTCGTCTTCTTTTAAATCTCCGGCCCGTTAGGGTATCGGTTGGTATCGAACCTAGGCCGTGGCTAGATGGCATCGTCGCGGATCAAATGCCCGTGTGCTCTGTGGTCCGTGCGCACGACCATCGCAATGTCGAATTCGATGATATGAGAAGACAAGTCCAACAAAACTCTTAACAACAGGAGGAGCAAATCTCAATTTAAGGCGTGATGGGCTTCGTCGTGACCTTGTAGAGGAAGAAGAAGAACAAGATTGACCCCTTTCATTATGAATATCTCGATGCATCCGAAGAAGAGGCTCTTTCGTGTCATTGGTCATCACGGACGGAACCGTGATTCCTGCGATTTCGGTACCAAACACGGCTCTTCGGACTTCGAGATCAGCACTATTCACAAACCAAAGACTTCATTAAATGGGTCGACACTATTGAACGGGTTTTCGATTATAAAAATGTGGCGGAGACTTAAAATGAAGTATTGTGGCGTTCAAACCTTAAAAAAAGGGAAAATATACCAAAAAAATCATAAACCTTGTGTCAATTCAGTCATAATCCTTTTCATATATTACTTATTGAGTCCGTCTGGCCAATTTAGGTCGGAAATCGCTGACGTGAATGCCGGCGGTCTGACAAGGCCAAACCTGACGTTGACATTTTTTTGAATTTTTTAATAATTTTTTTTGGTTGTTTCCTCTTTTTTTTTTCCTTTTCTTCTATTTTCCTTCCATTCTTTCCTTTTTCTTTCACTGTGGTCGCCGGTCACTGGGCGAGGTCGTGGCCCTTGCCCGGATCTGGGCGACGCCATCGCGGTCGCGGGCGTGGCCACCTTGCCTAGATCTGGGCGAGGCCAGCTTCGCCATGGCCTCACCAACCGCGGGCGGTTGAAGAGGACGGCCAATAGGGACGCACCGTGGACGTAAATAGGCAAGCTCCGGACAAATCCATCGTTGTTCGGGACCCCGTCAGTGATGAGATCTCTCTTTGGCTACGGTCCTTTGTACTGTCCGTTTGCTTGAAAACGAACACAAAGCATATGAATAACGAACACGAATTGAAGAATTTTGTGTAGAAGCAAAGCGATGTGGAAGCACCTCCACCAGCGGATATGACGAAGCCTTGACAGAGCTCGAGAAAGTAGGGCTCGGACGATGACGGAGGAGAAGGCAAAGGGGGTCGGAGGGAAGGAAGTCGCGGAGGAGTATAGTTTCTGCTTCCAAATTAAACCCAAACCCCAAGTGTTTACTAGTAGATTGCTTGAGAACAGTAACCTTCAAATGCAATAAGAAACCAAGCTATGAATTCTGAGCATCTATCTTGTGTCATCGTCAAAGCTGGAAGGAATAACATATCGTAGAAATACAATGATGCATAAGACGATCAATAGCTTGAAGCATGAGCACTTAAATCACTACGCTCAATCTTATTTTGAAACTAGAGACATCGCCCATCCATATCAAGGACTTTATAATTATCGAAAGTGAAAGACCGCTCAAGGCAAAGTGAGAACCTTTTTTAACCAATTCTATCAATTAACGACAATCGCGATATGTTTTGAATAGTCGTAAGACTGGAAGATTCCGATGAAGTCGGGTAGCTGTTGTTGATTAACATCAATTACTCTGCTTGACTGCTGCAATACTAAATAAGTTCATAGAAGTCCATAGATTCTTTATAAGACTCCCTAAACATCAATGGTACTAAAGAAATAGGCAAAAGGAGAAAAGGGCTTCATGAGTTGGATATTCTTGTCAAAGACTAGGGCTGCTTCTTGGAAGAGGTCTTCATCAGCAAATTTGCTTTGACAAGTAAAGCCCGAAGCACAAACACCATCGACCATTCCAAATAATTTCTTTTTTGAAATGATGATGATATTATGGCGAATATCTACAAGAAAAAGTCCAAATTTAGAGGTTGAATTTCCTACGGATGTAACCGAGTGAAATTACCATGAATGCCAAAAAAAATTGTTAGTCTCTCTTGGAATCTTAGTCAATATACATTTCTCGTTTTAATCTTATAACAACTCCTTTTCATCGATTGTGCTTCTTCCTCCAATAACTATCTGGAGAAATGCAAAGGTCAGTACCTAGACCTCATGAAAATTGGACCCGAAAAGAGGAGGGTTGAAGTTGACATCTGTCTGCTGTCACTGGATAGTTTTCAGAGCAAAACACTGCAACTTTACACAACAATAAACGATAATAAGCACAATCTCAAACAAACCTTACTCTAGCTAGATAGTTTTCACAAACTTAGATTCCAAGCAAGACACAACCTACAATGCTTATTGGTGCCAATCTTATTTTGAGACCAAGGCAACACTCAAAACTATGCTTAAGAGAGAACTCGACAATGTTGATTACATGAAAGGTCGAGAACTAGATGATAGTGAGATTCAATGATTAGTTTGACAGAATTAAGACCTTCCTCTGTTCTTCATTAGAGAAACTCCACTCCAAAATTATATGAGAGCGAGATTCAATGCTTAGATTACAGAACAAGTAGAGAGATCTTGTTCTCCCAACAGAAGAACTGTTAATCCTCTCAAAGGTGGGGAGTTTATCACGCATATGACTAAACAAGAAATAAAGCCAGATCTTGGCACATTAGGGGAGGACCACACAAGTTTGTGCCAGTCAACATTGGCACTCTTGTTTCTGACAATTTCCCAAGCAACAAAAGAGTTAAGGCAACCATTTGAAGAAGCTGTTCATACTACTTTGTCTGCAGCTGAGGAACTGGGAAAATCACACCACAAACTGCAGCTTGGAAGGGAATCGACTCTTCAGACCTAGCAGCGGACCACTTCCAATGAGAGTTACAAATTACAGCAGATACTTTGGCCTGCTGAGGAAGAGAAGAGTCATGAGTTATTCTCCTTGAGAAATGATCCGGTGAGATCCAAGCATGGTGCCACAAGTCATACCAAAGAGAAATAATCTCCATTACCCACTCTATATCTAATATGGCATTCAAAGTTTTCCGGACTCTTAATAACTTCTTCCAAGCATAGTAAGCAGCATCCGGCTTACAGTCAAGATGCTTCCCATACAACAAGTCAAAACATAGAGACCTACATCTCAACAACATACTTCACAGACACTTCAAAATACAAGCAAGATTTCCCAAATCCAGTCTTCGAATGCCAAGCCTCCAAACTGCTTAGGAAGACAGACAGTGTCCCATGTAACTTTTGCTCCCTCTTTGGCATCAGAATTTCCCATCCAAAGGAAAGCACTATAGTTTCGCTCAACCATTTCAGTTACTTTCTTGGGCAGCAAAAAGAGTTGACACTAATAGTCAACCAGACTATAAATAACAGATTAATAAGCTGAAGGTCATCGGCCCATGAGCGGCTTTTAACTGTCCAAGCTTTAAATCTTGTTGTAATTTGATGATTTATGAGATTGTCTAAAAGTCTTTCAGACCATCCAAAATAACTAGAAGAAAGAACCAAACAAGAACATAGGGTTGGGGTTGGCTGATTGATCATGCTGTTTGATTAGATTGCTGCATATTAGACAAATGCATTTTTTAAAAGCTTAAGCTGTTAGGAAACGCACCAAACAATGTATATATAACGTATAACTTAACACTCCCCTTGCGTAGAACTGCAGCCTTACACACGCACGACAGAATGTGGACATAATCACGTCAATGGGATAACTAGGTAAATGATAACAAGCAACATGACAGACCATAAATTTTGAACCATTGGCATGTGTTTTGATACAATGCTAGAAATGAACAAGTAGAATGCGGATAATTTGCTGGAATCTCAACAAAACAAGTAGAATGCGGACAATTTGCTAATCCTTCAGAAGAGATTCTTTTGGGATTCTGATTGTACCCCATGATCATTACCCGCCTCTTAAACAGCCAGTCAAAAGTAAAAGCAGAAACAAATCTACTCACCCTTTAAACTTTGCCAACCAGCAACTCCAGGGCTATGCATCTTTGATTCCATGAAGCAGACTACGAATACTTATCAAAATGAACAATGGGCAAAGATTTCATTGAGTGCTATCCAGGACGCAAAACGCCTTCATTTGTGTCTGCACTCAAAGCGACTAAACCATTCCGTAGTCTTGGATGGTGAGTAAAATGCTGGAATGGAAGGGTTGAGGTGCAATAAATCTGTTTCCCCCCATAGATCTCGATGTTGTATCTGTAAATGCAGACAGAAAGTTAATACCGAGTTCCTTCCACTTCTGGTGAATGCTGCAAAAGTAATTTTCACATATCAGAATCAAAGATATAAGGGAAATTAGTGAGGTGCATTCCACAACTTAGTAAATGTGTCCAAATGGAGTTCCCAGACTAAAACAGGAAAGAGGATTTGGAGTACCTATCCACCATTAACATGACATGAACTTTGCTCTATCCATTCTGAAGTTCTGAGCTACCCGTTTTCAAAGTGATGCAACTTTCAAACATTTTTCAAACTCGTCTTTGCTATTTATTCATATCATATAAATCATGTCCAGACTTTAGTTTCATCTAGCAGATCGAACATCTGGGGAAAAACAAGACATTTATTGAACAGGGAAAGAGAACACAGGCATACCTCTATCCCTGCCAGTAATTCGAGAACCAACAAAAAATCATGGAAAAGCTTTCACCAAAGTGGAGATGTTAACAAGAAAGGCAGCAACTCCAGGGCTATGCATCTTTGATTCCATGAAGCAGAATACGAATACTTATCAAAATGAACAATGGGCAAAGATTTCATTGAGTGCTATCCAGGATGCAAAATGCCTTCATTTGTGTCTGCACTCAAAGCGACTAAACCATTCCTCAGTCTTGGATGGTGAGTAAAATGCTGGAATGGAAGGGTTGAGGTGCAATAAATCTGTTTCCCCCATAGATCTCGATGTTGTATCTGTAAATGCAGACAGAAAGTCAATACTGAGTTGCTTCCACTTCCGGTGAATGCCGCAAAAGTAATTTTCGTATATCAGAATAAGAGATATTAGCGAAATTAGTCGGGTACATTCCGCAACTTAGTAAATGTGTTCAAATGGAGTGTCCAGAATAAAACAGGAAAGATGATTCAAAGCACCTTAACTGCCATTAACATGACATGAACTTTGCTCTATCCATCCTTAAGTTTTGATCCACCCTTTCTCGATGCGATGCAACTTTCAAACATTTTCAAACTCGTCTTTGCTATTTATTCATCACATAAATCATGTCCAAACTTTAGATTCATCTAGCCGATCGAACATCACGAGGAAAAACAAGACACTTATTGAACAGGGAAAGAGAACACGTACATACCTCGATCCCCGCGAGTAATTCGAGAACCAACTGATCACGGAAAAGCTTCCACGAAAGTCCGAGATCTTAACAAGAAAGCTAGGCTGAAGTGGCATGTACCCTTCTTCGTCTCCACAATGAGGGGCAATCTCACGTCCAGGGTCAACCCCCTTCAGCATCTCCTCCTCCTAAGACTTAAATACCGGTGAGGCGGCGATGGCGAAGGAAAGGGTACCGACCAAACTTCACCAATGGGAATTCCAGTGTAATCTGCAAGGCAAGCAGGATTGAGAGAGAATCCTGGGTAATGAGGCGATGACAAAAGAATTGGTGGATGAGGGAGCGCAGAAAAACTGGTGGAATGCAAAACAATAAAAATAAATCAGGCCGTCGACAACATCCCCGGGATTTTTTCACGACAATTTGTGCCGGACCGATGAGATCACGTGGGGAAGAAAGCATTTCAATGGAGAGGGGGGGAACCGGTACCAAATCTGAGGAGAGAAATTGACAGCGAGTTGAAATCAAATACCTGGTTTTTACCCCGAAGGGCCATCGAAATCTTCGCGAGATCGAGAGGAGGAGAGCGGAGAGAGGCGGTGATTGGGATGGTGATGGTTACGCCCAAAAGCAGCTGCTGCTGCTTCTTCAGGCTTACTACTACTAAAATCTTCTAAAATAATAATTAAAATACGGAATTCCCTTTTCCAAAAAAAGAAGCCAAAGCTCAGATAATATTAAAATCCCCCCCCCCCCCCCCAATCTCTTCCCCGCATATAACAGCATTCGAGCCTGAATCCTCCTTTTAAGTGTCTTGAGGGTCGCAGGTAAAAATCTACCCTCGCTGAATAGAGAAGCTGGTAGAGAATTGCATCCGTCAATTGTTAATTCTTGCAGACAAGACGTCATGTCAATGCGGTTATTGCTATTGCTGCTGTTGCCGCTGCTTGGTTCATCCGGATGAATACTTAATCCTCTGGCTAAAGATTGCAACATATTGCAGCGTCCGACATATAATGATATCACCGATGTTGGTATACCTGTTTCGGGGAAAGACACGAGTTTTGGACAGTTATCAACCGTCAAGTTTATAAGAGAGGAGAGGGTATGCATTTTGCATGGGAGCTTCTCTAAATTGACGCAATCTGTCAATTCGATAGTCTCGAGGTTGATGGGCAGCTCTATATCTCCTTTTCCAGCCCCAAAATATATGAATTCCGAACAATTATGGACGACTAACCTCTTCAGGCAAGCGAGATTCCCAATTATATCTATGTCTTGCCACAAGTACAATAGCTTTTTACAATTTCCCATCTCCAACTCCTCTAGTTTGATCAGGGAGCTTGTAAACCCATGACTTAAGCAAGTTAGGTTAGCAACATCTTTTACAGCAAGAGCGGTTAGAGATGTCAAGTTCACCAAACTCTTCAGCACCCCCTCATTACAACCTCGAAACTTTAATTTCTCAAGAGATGGAAGGCTCGTGATAGAGGGCGAGGCATCCATACGAGGACAGGAGTTGATTTCAAGCTCTATGAGGGAGCTTAGTTGACTAGGCAATGTTCCGATCAAAATAGGGCAATCTTGTATGATGAGATGCTCAAGACGAGGGAACAAAACTCCTACTTCTTCAGTGCCGACCCAATGAGACCAGTCCTCCCATAATGGCATGTCCTTGAATTCCAGAGTTATTAAGGACATAAAAGGACTTCTAGTTCCATAAAATTCAGATCCAACCTTGCATATTGCATTTAGACCTTCGATGTACAGTTCTTTCAGCGAAGATAGTTGCCCGAGTGATGGTAATGTTTTGGCCCTACGACACCCGTGTAAATGTAAATGCACTATGTTAACATGTGGGGGACTTCCTAACCATGATGGGAATTCTAGGCCACCATAAAAAAATATTTTGAGAATTTGAAGGTTTTGGTGAGGGCAAAGTAAGTCAAGGACCTTTGCTTCAAGCTCTTCATCCCGGAAATTCTCAAAATCTCTACACCATTGCATGGTTAACCGGCATATTCCCTTCTTCGTGTATAAATTGGCATCCGTGGCATCTCTGGCTTCTTGAACCATATGCAAATCAGAGATGCATAATTCCCCTCTAAGGTTCTCCAGATTTTTTAACTCCTTCAATCTCGAGCCATTTTCCGTTCCCACTACAAACTTCGACAACATCTCAAGACCTACCAAATTACCTATATTCAGTGGCATCCCTATTAGGCTCGGAGTGTCGGTAATATCGAGATATCTCAGATTGATCAGTTTTTCCATATCTTCGGGTAATTTGATAAGCTCATTACAGCCCCGCAACATCAAAGCCTCTAGATTGTACAATGCAACAATTGACTTTGGAAGCATTTTGATATTAGTATACGACAGATTAAGGTGCCTTAGGTGCCTCAGTTTGCCAATGCAATCCGGTACCTCTCCGATGCCGTAGTGACTTAATGAAATCACTCTCAAGTACTTCAATGCTTGCAACAAGTCACATATCACTTTCTGGGACAAATAGGAATAAGGGCTAGATTGCTTCCTTAACGATATGAAGCTCCTAAGTCCCTTCATTTGATGATATATCTTGAATCTTTCCGGTACAATGTGAATACTGGAAATGAATGAGGCATGACGAGCTAAAGATGCATTTTTTTTATCATGCTCAAACTCAAGCTCCCCTGAGCTAAAATGGGTTGCACCCGCCACTAACTTTGCCAGGTCATTCACAAGATCATGCATCAAGAATCTTAATTCACTGCTACTCGAATTTTGAAATAACGATCTAGATACTAGCTCGTCAAAATAATTCAAACCTGCATTCCAACGGTCCTTTCCTTCTTTTCCCTCAACGAAGCCCTCTGCAATCCACCAGTGAATCAACTCGTCTCGCTGGATTTCATAGTCTTGGGGAAATATAGCACAGTAAGCGAAACATCTCCTCAAATAGGAAGGGAGATGGAGGTAGCTAAGTTTCAAAGCCGGAAGGATGTTAATTCTTTCTTCCGGTAGATCCCAAATCTTGCTATTCAATACAGCTTCCCATTCACGGGGACTGACTTTAGCACGTAGCAGCCCGGCCAATGCCTTCACGGCTAATGGCAAACCTTTGCATTTTTCTACTATTTTCCGGCCTAATACTTCAAGATCGGTACGACCATCGAAATTTCGGTCTCCAAGAGCATGAAATGCAAACAAAGTCATACAAGCATCTGGTGATAGCACTTTGAGAGTTATCGGTCGAGCACGGGCCATTAAAGCAATGTCGAGGTGACGAGTTGTGATAATGATCTTGCTTCCCTTCTCTCCAGATTGAAAAGGCTTCAAGAGGGTTGTCCAGTTGTCATAATTCTCATTCCAAATATCGTCTAATACGACAAGAAACTTTTCCCCGAAAGGTTTTTCTTGAGCTCATCTTGAAGCCAATTCAGGGTTTTACCTTCACAGGACAAACGGCGGTTGGTCATCTCCAGGATACTCTTTGTAATAGAAAGCAAATCGAAATTATCGGAAACACAGGCCCATGCTTTCTCATCATAGGTGAGACTAGTATCATGGTAGACTCGCTGAGCTAGAGCCGTCTTCCCAACACCCCCCATCCCTACGATGGCAATTACTTCTGGATCCACACATGTTCTATTGTCCTCGATTCGGGTCAGCCATTCGAGGATCTGCCTTTTTTCATCCTCCCTACTAACAAAACAAGGCTCGGTCCCATCCGTAGCGGGAGGCCGCCTATCCAGTTGGCTGTATGCTGATCGTTGCCCATTATTCTCTCTCAGGCTCAGATCATCTTTAAGAGTTATGATCTCCTGCAATCTTCTATCCATCTCTTCGATCTTGGATCTCATTTTGCAGTCGAACATAAATGCACATGGGCTAAATCTGAAGCAATAATTCGGAAGAAGAGATTGCACCTTGCTACAACCGGGTTCCGCCTTGGACTCGTTCTTCGCGGATTTTGTGGCGAACTCATCAAGCAAGTCGTCAATGTCGTAGGCCAAGTTCCTGAGATCTTCGAGCCACGACTTCACCTCTGGATCGCCATTCAGTTGCCTGTCCTCTGCATCATCCAGCACGTGGTCAATCCTGATCAGCCTCTGCCCCCATTTCTTCAGCAGCTTATCGATACCCTCGCGCCGCGCAAAGTTGAGAAGCTCGCGAGAGGCCAACCTATCAAACAGCACTTGAAGAAAGGCCCCAAGAAAGAGCTCTGCGATGGGCATGGCTTGGTTCGGGAGCAGCAAAGGATTAAACGAGAGTGCGCGTATGGTTCGAAACAAAGTGTACCGAGCGGAGAGGAAACACAAGTTCTAATTTCCAGGACAACAGCATCAAATGATGGTGTGAACCAAAGACTTTTCAAGCACTGGAGTGCTCTTTCTTTCTCGGAAGAAGCGGTCGTCTCATTTGAATTTGAATTTCATTTATTTTTCCTTAATTTCTCGGAAGCAAATTGGTTGGACGCGGGACCAACAAGTCTTGGCATCATTGAAGCCACCAAAGGCTCAGAAAGTAACCCCGAAACTTCTGCTCCATTATTGCTCAATCAGATCTCTCTCACCACTCACATCACACAAATTCTCAAAATGCACCCATCCACCTCCATCATGAATCACATAGATCATATGGCATCATGGTTTGATTGATGCAGCCTTATGAACCCCATCCTGTTATCAAATAAAGGAGCAGTTATCACATAATTTTAGTTTATGTAAACTGAATATCACCTTAATCATTGACCATATGGGTCTCAACATTATTCAACGTAACATGAGAGCTCAATGCATTGAAAGCTCCAAAAATTATGTAGTAGATTGCCCAACAAGTGTCCATAAACACTCGATAAAACACTCACCAGAAAGAAAAAAACTGTTACTTTTCTTCATTACTATGGTTGCTACCTAAATTTACTCTCTAAAAGATTCATTATGCATAAAATTCGGGGAAAAATTGAGTGACCCTAGATCGAATTAAATTGCAGAACTTCAAGCTTCATTTTCTTTTTACCTTTTTCCCAAGCAAAAATGATTATATTCATAATAAAGCTTCCTCATTTTATAGGTAGAATTTGATATAGAGCTATTCATACCCTATTATTATACTTGCACGCTACAATATTTATACTTGCACAATGACTAAATTTTGGATTATATGGGTAAGTATATTTTACCAACGGTTAACACCATTTTTGTTAACGAATTAGTACGTTACTTTTTTTTTTAGAATAGTTATTGCTGGGGCTAATTCCAAAAAAACAAAGCACAAACTTTATCTTAAGTAATAATTCTGGTCCGAATTTTTTTTTGTCTCAATAAAAAACACTAAGTTTTACTCGAGTCCTAAATCTAGTCCTCATGATATGAAATTTTCAAATTATCCGGGCCAAATTTGAGATTTAAGTAAAAGTTGATAATTTTTTATGAGACGAAATAAAAGTTCGGGCCAGAATAGATGCTCAAGGTAAATTCTGTAGCTCTTCCATTTTTTGTTTTGGAATTAGGCCGTTGTTGCTGCTATTCGCAAAATAATTTGTACAGATTTGGGACTCGATATATAAATTACACTTTGGTTGTGGACCCAAGCCTCCGTTGCAGCGGGTCCTCCATCTCCCATCGAAAGCGGATCTCTCCATATCCCTCCTTAATATTGGCGTTCCCATGTGGGAAGCCTAAACGACGGATAGGACCACGCGGGGCGAGTTGGGTCCCCTCGGCCATCACTGCGCGTGCATGGAGTCGTACCGCCCTCTGCATCGGTGCGAGGTTGACACGACACGAAGCTTTAATAATGGCCACGTGACCGGCCAAGGGCCAGAAAAGCAACTTGACTTCTCCAGCCGCGGTTAACTATCGACATCACTTTTTCTTTTTTCTTTTTTTTTTGGGTTTCAGCGCCAGGCGTGTCCTGATGTAACTGCATGGAAGCAAATCCCGCCATCCCTTCTTTGGGAGTGTTCATCTCAGGCCAAGCGGTGAAAAAGTTCGAATGGGTGCAACGGAGGTAGGAACAGCTCGATATCATCGATAAGAAGCGACTGAAGGAGCCTGAGGAGTCGCCGGTGAGCCCAAAAAAAGAAGAAGAAAACAACCGCCGGTCGAGGATTTGAGGACCAGCGACGGACGGGGATTAGGCGACGTGTGACGGCGACGTGCAGCGGCCGTGGACGATGCCGAGGGAGCTTTCCTCCTCTGCGTTTTAGAGTGAGAGAGAGGGGTGGACGCCATTGAAACTCTGGTCAAGCTTTAATCCCTAGGCTAGTAGTTCGAAAGCTCGCCGGTGAGAAATAATATGTTTAAGGACATAATGAAAGCCCTTCTATTGTCATCAAGAAACCCTTCGTGAGTGGGTTGATGGATATTTGAATCGTAAAAAAAAAAAAATCTTAACAGTAGATTAAGAAGGTCTCCAAGTTTGTTTTGATACGACGATTTCATGTTAAAATTACGATAAAATATACGTCGTCATGACCGCAGTATGACGTACAAAAATATGTTTCTTCTTTGTTTTTTTTAGGGAGTTTCATTAGTTATCGTAGCCCGAGCGAGAACAATTCCCGATCGTCAAAGTAATATGCCAACCCTAAACTCTCTAAATGTTTTATAATCTTCACTAATCCCATCAATCAGTGACCTTAGCCCACCCCTATACACCAATAAATCACGTACCAATTTCTTTACCTTTTAATGAAGTTTGGTGGTCTTTTCTCGCTCATCTCCAACACATTTATTAACCACCCATCCATTTACCTCGGCACAAAATGAAGGCGCCCAAGTAGAGCAAATCCTTTTATTTTGTGAGCAGCTGCTGAACTAGAGCTCAGACGGAGCAACATATTTTTCCTAACTGCTTAGCACTCGCATCATTCTCAAAGTCTTAGGCATAGCTTTTAATGCCTGCAAGTAAGTTCCCAGGAAACTTCTTCAACTGCAAGGACTGTAGCTCCAAAGGCCAAAAAGCAGATCGTGCGGTGTCGTCTTTAAACAAAAAGGATGGAAAACTACCAACATAATAATTACAGAAAAATGACGATCAGACACTGCTGATTGAGGACAGGGGAAACCGAAGGGAAGAAAATTAGTTCAAAGGACTACAAAGGAGATGAAATTGCCAAACTGGAGAAAGGGATTGAACAAAAGAACAGTCGACACAGCAAGAACAACTGCATGAGCAAACACAAATTAAAAACCTACTACTGCCTTTTCAGTAGCCAGGTGAGGGGGCATTCGCCTCGAAGTTCTGTCAATGTTCCTACTCTCCTTATAATACTCGCGTGCCATTGCTCAATCGTTTTGTATCTAAAACTACATTAAAGGGAAAACAGTCGCGCTTGTACCAGGGGAAAAGAAACGAACAAGCCCTCTAAGTGCATGCAATGAACCACACAAAATGTACTTTCTCCATAAAATACTGAAAATATTAAAAGGATATCCCCTCCCTCGGATCAAGAATCATGCTCCCAGCAGTTTTTCCACTCTCCTCGAAGTAATGCTGCACCAATATCGCGAGTTGGCGCAGAACCACTTCCAAAGCGTCAGTAGAGATGAGAAAAAGTTGAATGTAGTAGTCACCTAGCTCGGAGTAAACAATTTAACCAATATGAAGAGCTGCACCATATAGCAATTACTTCATTCGCAAATTTAATATGGAAAATAACTCACCTTCGGTTTTGGTTAAACTATAGAAACGACTCTTGCATGCACCCTATTAGAGGCTCAACCAGAAATTGCAATAATCTTTTTAATTCCATATGTACAAGTCAAAAGTGAGATTTTCCAATTTCTAAACGATCCTTGCTTTCCATCTCTAATAGGGGAAAAGTACCAAAAACGTTCAGTCCTATATTTTTTAATTATGCCAATTCATTCATAAACATTTTCACGTTTTGTCAATTGAGTCCATTTGGCCAATTTAGGCCGGAAATTGCTAACATGGATGTCAATTGTCTCATGTGGCAAGGCCAACGCTCACGTGCACAATTTTTTTCAATCTTTTTAAAATATTTTGAATTATATTTTTTTTCTTTTCCTTTTCCTTTTCTTCTCTTTTTCTTCTTTTCCCTTTTTTTCCTTTCATTGTGGCCGGTGAGCTCACCGACCACTGGGCGAGGCCATCATGGCCGCAAGTGAAGGCAGCCTTGCCCACATTTGGCAAGGCTTCGCCCAGACCATCATGGCTACGGGTGAGGCCGCCTTGCCTAGGTCTGGAAGCAGGAACTATACTCCTCCGTGACTGCCTTCCCTCTGACCCCCATCGCCTTTGCCTTCATCG